AGGTTGACTCTGCCTTCCATCCTTCCGAGGTGGGAAAAATGCGGACCCGCCTCATTGGGAGCAATATACTGACTCTGTAAACTCCTTAGAGAGGGCTGTAAAGCACTGTAAAACAGTATATAAATCTAAGTGCTATTGCTATTTGAATAAAATTCTTCATTAGAAAAATTCTTCATTAGAAAAGTTGGAGGGAGGGGCCAGGACTGCTGCTGATTCCTATACACTTTGCATTTATCCCAATAAAAATCAGCTTTCACATTTCACTGCCTTTTATGTTTGAAATGCTGTGCATTTAATCTCACATCTAGTTCAGCTATATGCCAGACTTATTCTCCATTCCATGTGGCAGAGCTATGAGCTATTAATTGTCTACTACATTAGGCATGTTTCCTTTATTCTGCCCTTGTTCCCACTTACAGATGTGCCTGTTGAAAATGGCATTGGGCAGAATAATTTTGTCCACTTCACTCTGCTTGCTGCCTCTGTGCTCCTCTTGCTAACTAGGAAGCCCATTTTTCTGCAGCTTCTGTTAAAATGTGAGTCCTGTTAAGAACAGTTGCTGATAGCCTATGACAATGAAATCAACATAGCATATAGTCATGCTAACAAGATGCTTACCTACAAGTTACAGATTAGCACACAGAAAAACCAAATGATTTTGGAATGATATTAAAAGGAAACCAGTTGTTTGCTTATCAACCCCAGTGAGGTTCTGTTACATTCAATGTATTGAATGATCAACCTTCCATCATTGACAAAAATCTTTGGAGAGTGTACATTGCAAATAAGTCAGAAGTTTGCCCTGTCAGTTGTCCCCTATCCTTCCTAACTTGTGAAATTTAAGGAAATCTTTTTCTCTCCACTGCACTTGGGATACTTTTCTCCTTTCATATTTCACAGAGGCCATTCTTGCCTTTTCCTTGACTTTTCAAAGGTATCCTCATTTGACATTGTGCATTTTTTAATTCTATTTTTTGGGGGAACTCAAGTTACCTATTGATGGTGGCAATTCTCACAAACAGTGATTGTGGGTACATGTGATTTCCTAATCCTTCTGAGTGGACAAAATTGCAATCTGAAGACACCTAAGCTCAGCCTTCTTTATTCATCTCCTGCCTCCCCACACCTGAAACAGAAGATAACTATGGGGGTTTGAGGAAGTAACTGACTCTGTTCTTACTTCCTCAAACCCCCATAACTTCAACCTTAAACTGTCTACTGTGGACCTCACACCATTCCTAAGAGGTCTGTAAGGGGGCGTGCATAAGTGCACCAGCATGCACCAGCACCGTCCCTGTCCTAATGTCCCCATTTATTTGTACTAATTTAATGTGCTCATGTCCATGTTTATACTTATACCTGTTATCTCGTATATTTTTGACAAACTAACTAACTAAATATTTCTGCAGTCTCAGAAATAGAATAGATTGCATTGTTTTCTGTTTTCATTCTTCAATAGGAAATGAAATTACACAACTCATGCACACAAGACTGCAAATATATGAGCATTTCAGCAAAAAGACTTCCTCTGACCTGATTCTTATTTGGACAAAAAATGATTAGTACTTCTTCAAAAGAAATTAAACCAATTGCAGAAACAGAAAAGTTATAAGGAGAGAGAGCCGTATGTAGGACTGCAAAAACTAAGACGCCTGGTAGCACCTCTTCAGGCTAATACATTATATTAGAAGGCATAAGTTTTCAACAGATTCATCAGTTTCACGGAGAAGCTAAACTGATGTGGGATTTAAACTGAGATGGAGGAAAGGGAGGGAAAGGCTGAGAGATCATGCAAATGCAGTTCACATGTGAGACAAGTAATATAGAAGAAGAGAAAGAAAACAACGAAGAGCTTCTTACCATTACTTTCAGCCTTTGGGAGACTCCACAGAAAAGTGAGGATCAGACAGAGGAGTAGCTGAGGAGCCATGGTGCCTATCGGTGGAACAGAACACTTTGTTCTCTTCCAGGGCTGGCTATGAACAAGTTTCAAGCAAGCAGGCTTCCTGTTGTTCTGCTAGAGCGCTTATCATGACTTCCAAAGCCTGTTTGTGTTTGGATATGGATTCTTCAGATCATTGTGCTGACTAATTCGAAATGCGGGTCTTTGCCAAGTAAGGTCATTTGAGTCGGTACAAGATTAATAGCATGGAGTGGGATGGATACCTCAAAAGAGAGCTGCCCCTCTCTGTTAAACACAGATATTGACATTTAAAGGAAGGTCACCCAGAAGTTGAAAACAGATTATGCTTAGGGGAAGAGCTTCACTGCTTCCTTTCTCAGTTCTTCATAAAGAAATATTAACACATTCTGGATCCAGAGCAACTTGTTCCTAAAAAAGTCCTAGCAAATGCTAATGCTACCCTGTTTCCCTGAAAATAAGACCTCCCTAGATAATAAGCCCAACCAGGCTTTTGAGTGCAAAATAAGTCCTCCCCCCAAAATAAGCCCTCCTGGAAAATATTGCAACACAGCAGCAACCATGAGGTGACCACGCTCGCCACCTCCTGCACCTCAAAAATAATAAGACCTCCCCAAAAATAAGGCCAAGCACTTATTCCGTAGGTCAAAAGAAAATAAGACCCTATCTTATTTTCGGGAAAACATGGTATTACCTAAAATTATACTTCTGCAATATTTGAACATAAGAGAGAATTGCATTTTGTCCCTGTTTCTCTCTTGCACACAGATCTCAAAAAGCAGAAAGTAGAGCATGGTAAGACATGTGTGTTCCCCCCCCCCCCCAAATCAGATATCTTTATTACAATCTTTGATCAGCCTTCACAATAACAATATAGTACAGTACTTTTAGAGTACGGTAAAAAGAGAAATAGAAAAGAGAAGTTAAGAGAAGTTTAACACAACATTTGTGATTGAGAATAGGAAAGAATAGGGCAATAAAATACTGTATTTAATTAAAAGTTTTGGGTAGTTGTAGAACTTGAAGATATTTGGCCACCTGATTGATATGTGAGTGTGAGGTTACCCTTAAAAATGATAATATTTATCTGTGCAGCCTTATTTGGAAATGATTGGAGTGATAAGAACACATCTTGGGGCATCATAGAAAGGACACCATATGAGGAGATAAGTGAGAGTTTCTACTCTGTGGATCCACAAGGGCAAAGTCTCTACAAATAAGGAGTCCCATGAAATCTTCCTGGCAGCTGAGCTAGAGAAGGACATCAAAGCAGGCTGTGGGAAATGCCCATCTATGTTTGCTTAAGGTTAGATTCAGACCTGGGCATTTTACGGCTCCGAACCACATCCAGTCCTTTGACTGTCCCTGCCTGGCCCGCATAAGGTTAATTGAAAATTCAAAATCAAATGTAAATAAGTCCACCACAGGGGCCAGGAGAGGAAGCCAAGTCATTCCCCTGCAGTCATTCCCCTGTGTGTTCAAATGAATCTATTCAGTGGTGGGATTCAAAACTTTTTGCTACTAGTTCGGTGAGTGTGGCTAGGGGGAGGCCATGTGACTGAGTGGGCATAGCCAATGTGACATCACTCATACCCACGGTTCTCTTTGATTATTGACTTGGCCTTCTTCAGGGTTAATTGGCCTAAGTATTCACAAGAGCAGGCAAGACAATCAGTTAAATGGCTTGCCTCCAGAAGTGTTGGTCCTCCATCACTGACGATTTTTAAGAAGAGATTGGGCAGCCATTTATCTGGAGTAATATAGGGTCTCCTAATTGAGGAGGAAGTTGAACTAGAAGACCTCCAAGATCTGTTCCAACTCTGTTATACTTTTACTGCAAAATTCTGCTGTACAAATATGGTGCTAATGAGATTGGTAATTATAGTAGCAGAAGCATCAGGTCTGTAGAGTCAAATATGGTTCAGAGCAGTTAGCTTATATGGTAGATTAGAAGCTCTCCCTCTGTCCAATTTTGCAAAGTCTTGGTTAGCTTTTCAAAATCTAGTGTGTGTTGCAAATTGTGACACTTGATGGCCAAGCCATTCAAAACACAGGTGACAAAAAAAAACCCCAAACATGAAAATATATAGAGTAATCAGAAACACAATGAATCAAAAATTTAAATATGCTTTTCAGCTCTTAAACAAATATTTTCCATGAAATTTTATGAAATGTATACACAAGTGCCTCTATCACGCCAGAAGTTAATTTATTTTAAATATATTTATTAACTAACTAACTTAAGAAATCAATAAAGTATAAACTCAGTTTAATCAGCGATATAGCAATAAAATATCCATTATTTCAGTATATCTCTAAAAATTAAATGTGCCATTTACAGCAATGGACATAATTTGTGTATTGACAGCATTATGCAAATGGTATGATCAGGTTATCTACATCTTGTGCAAATAATGTGAATAAAGAAACATTTAGAATGCCTTCTCCAAATCCAAGAAATTGGTCCATTACATTGGTGGCTCAGTACTTATAATTAATTGGGAGACACAACGAATAGTAAAAATGATGAATACCAAACAAACTATGTGACTTACCATGTGACCCTTCCTTTGGCCAGGAAAGACTTCCTGTCTGTCCCTTTTCTTCTCAGCATGGTCAACTTTCTGTTCACCGTCTGCAGTCATCTCCTTGTTTCTTTTGAAGCAACCTTCCCAGTATGGCTGATTTCCTGTCTGTTCTTTATATTTATCCCCCTTTTCCTATCGCATCACATCACGTATCAAACAAACTGTTAGGAATATAATTCTAACGGTTGGGTTGGCAATATATAAATCATGTAACAATGTTGTACCTGTTTCTTTAAACATACTGTAAAATGTGATTGGGTGCTGTATTCCTCAATCGGCCATAAGAGGGAGCCAGAATGCCTGTTAGCTCTCTCTCTCTCTGTTCGTTAGATGCTGGGCTGATCTGAACTGAGTGCCGTGAGCTATTGTAAGTTTTTTCAACTGTTAGCAAACTTAGTGTACCGGACTGAGTA